CGGTTTCTTACTGGCCTGGAGAAGCTGTACCCCTGGGTGAGGGCCCCGCTTCCCGCCTGGGACCTTAACGTGGTCCTCCACAGGCTTATGCTACCCCCCTTTGAACCGTTGGCCACGTGTTCCCTGTTGCACCTTTCATTGAAGGTTGCCTTTATCGTGGCCATTACATCGGCTTGAAGGGTGTCAGAACTAAGGGCGTTAACTATAGCTCCGCCCTACCTTGTGTTTTCCAGTGACAATGTGAGGTTACGACCTCATCCGGCCTTCCTTCTGAAGGTAGTTTCTCCATTCCACCTGTCCCAGGAGATTTATCTCCCGGTTTTTTTCCCAAAGCCCCATGCCTCCTTTAAGGAGCGGGCTCTGCACTCTTTGGACGCTAAGCGAGCGCTGGCATTCTACATTGATAGGACTAGACCATTCCGTAAATCTCAACAGTTGTTTATTGCATTCGGGGATAGGGTGAAAGGGTCGCCTATCCCCACGCAAAGACTGTCAAGATGGGTGGTGCAATGCATCACAGAATGCTACCAACTGGCTGGTAAAACCCCACCCAGGGTGAAGGCACACTCCACTAGGGCGCAGGGCTCCACCAGGGCTCAGGCGTCCTCGGTGGCCTTTGGTGCCCAGGTCCCGATTACAGAAATTTGCAGGGCAGCCACCTGGTCTTCCCTCCACACATTTACAACACATTATGCGCTACCTCAGCAGGCCAGGGAGGATGCAAGGGTAGGCTCCGCAGTCCTTGGAAGACACGTTATCTTCATTTTGTACATCAAGAAGAGGGGCTAGGGAAGGGTAAGTGGAAGGAGGTGAGGGAGGAATGGGGCACGAGCCCCCGATGGGGAGGACTGGGCTGGCTCTGCGGGCTTCTGGGGGTGGAAGCTCTCCTGCAGCCCCCCAATTGCCCCTTCTCCCCAGATGGCAGCTTGCGGCAAGTGCAGCCGGGCTGATGGCCGAGTGCTGTGATGTGCCCAGTGTGGGTACTCAGGGCACTCCAAGCCAGGACTGCTTTGCAAGCGGGGCACCCCTGAGAACTGTCTGTCTGGGGTGGGGGTCGGGTCCCTTTAAGCACAGCCCTCGGCTAGCCTGAGACAGCATCTCCACGCTCTAAGTCCTCCTCTGATGCCCTGCCGGCACTGCTTCTGGCCATCCTTAAGCCTGGTTCAGGGTCCACTTAATGTGGACGCGCTAGTTTGAATTAGCAAAACGCTAATTCGAACTAGTTTTTAGTTCTAGATGCGTTAGTTCAAATTAGCTTAGTTCGAATTAACGTTGTAGTGTAGACGTACCCTAGTACGTCACTTCCCCTTCCCCCACCGCCCCGCTGCCTCTATCAGACCGAGTTAGCAAGGGGGGAGCAGGAGTTGGTGCTGGGGAGAGCTGGCTTAAAAGCCAGTTTCTCTCCCCTCCCCTCCCAAGCACCATCTTCGGGGGGGCAGGGAGGCAGAGGCATAGCACGGGATGGGGCACACAGTCAATAAGCTTCTGACGTTTGTATAATTAATGTAGTTCTAAATGTAGAGGTAGAGTATTAAAACAAGTTGCTACAAGCGACAAGTTCAAAATCTGTCATTCTGTGTTCATAAAAAGATGGAAAAATCTAGATTCTGGTAGGAGAGTTCCAAAATAATAATAGCTTGATGGGGCGGCCGGGTGACATTGCTGCATCCCTGCTACCTCTTTCCGTGGGGTCCTAAGACCTGCCAGTTTTGGCCACGCATGCGCAGCAAACCCAGCATGACGTCCGTTCTCCAGACCGCCAAAGTGGTGCTCCTTCGCTCACGCCCCTGGAGGATCGCGCCAGTCTGGACACTCTTTTCCGGCTTTTCCCCAAGCCGGAAAAAAAGCGGCGGCCATGTTTATTTAAATCCCGCGGGGGATATTTAAATCCCCCGCGGATTTCCCTATTCCAAAGTTAGAAATTAGCATGCCTCTTCCGAAAAAGGGGCCAGTGTAGACACAGCCCCAGTGTATGAGAGCTCAGCCCTCCTCCCCCTCAGATAGGGACTGCTGCCACTCTGCACTGCTGCCTCTTTATCAGAGGCAGCAGCACAGGGCAACAGACAGCTGGTCCACAAGGACAGCTGTTTTTTAAACTGACTCCTCTCGCAGACCAGTGGGCTCTGATACAGTGGCAGGGGGCTTGTCGGGAGTGGGGCTATAGAATAGTCAGCTAACTAACAAAAATTCATGAGGTTACTTGACTATTAATTTCATGAGGATACTTGACTATTCAATTAACTGATACTTAACATCCCTAGGGTGGGGAACATTTCCAGCAGATCCAGAGATGTCATTATTCCCCTTTATTCGGCACTGGTGAGGCCACATCTGGAGTATTGTGTCCAGTTCTGGGCTCTCCACTCTAGAAAGGATGTGGACACACGGAAGAGGGTCCAGGGGAGGGAAACGAAAATGATCAGGGGGCTGAAACACATGACTTACGAGGAGAGGCTGAGGTATTTGGGCATATTTAGTCTGCAGAAGAGAAGGGGGGGGGGTTTCATAGCAGTCTTCAGCTTCCTGAAGGGGATGGAGAGAGGCTGTTCTCACTAGTGACGGATGGCAGAACAAGGAGCAATGGTCTCAGGTTGCAGTGGGGGAGGTCTAGGTTGGGAATTAGGAAAAACTATTTCACTAGGAGGCACTGGAATGTGTTACCTACGGAGGTGGTGGAATCTCTATCCCTAGAGGTGGCTGTCTGTGCTAGGGCAGCCATACCGAGGCCCTGGTGTGAGCTCCGGCGGCTGCTATGCAGGCCGGCTGGTAGGGCTGCATGGAGAGCGGCTGCGATGCTCAGCCAGGGCCAAGTGCTGCATGATGGGCAGCTGCCCCTGTGAGCCCGTTCTCCTCCCTCCCTGCTCAGCAGGAGACTTCCCCTGGCCTCCAGCTGCTTCCAGCCAGCATGCACTGTTAAGTGCATAGGAAAATATGAATGTGCAGAATGTGTCAGCACTATCACACCTGTTAACTGCTGTCTCTTTAATTCTGGTGCAATTGCAGCAAAAGATTTGGACTGGAGAATATTCTTGAACAAGTAGTAGCAATTATTTTATTGTTTTTTTTAAATGTGTGTGCAGTAGTTTTTCAAATTCTTGTTAACCATCATGTCCCCCTACTTTGATTTGCCTAATATGCCATGGGCTAAAATTACTGTAATGAATATGCAAATAAATTAATCACCATAATAAATATGTTAGTATTTCAGTGCTGGTCCACTAAGAGTTTTTGAATGAGTTTGCCAGCCCGCGGTATAAAAAAGGTTGGGAACCACTGTGTTAACTCACTTTTTTCTCTCCTAAATGTGTCGTCTTCTCTAATGTGAACATTGACCTATGCAGAAGTGTCACAACATTAAAAATCTAATTTCTAGAATATTTCAAAGGGTACTATTGCATGCTTAGGCAATTCCTTCTACCAGGCAGACTAATGCTACAGTGAATAGAGAAACATTACGTTAGGAATTCACATAAATTCATTATCTTCCAACTATGCAGTATAAACAGTAATCACACAATTTTGACTGCTACTCGTGCACAACTTCAGTGTGAAACTGATCTGGTCAGCAAATTTTACTTAACTATTAAAAGGGCTATCAGTTGTGATACTTCGATGGTTAAGAATGTCTGATGTGAAAACATTTCAAGTTAGTATATGAAAAAATGTTGTATTGCCACTTTTGCACTGCTAAACAGCTTCATTTGGGGACAACTCGCCTTTGCAAAAGCAATACATATCTTTTAATACATTGTTTGGCAGCTTTGACCAACAAATACCACCTTAAGGTGTGGAACTAAACTAATACTGTAAAATCGTAGTCATGTTTCAGTGTTTCTAGAATGCAAAAAATGGCATTTTCTCATTTTGAGTACCATTTATTTTACCTTGCCTGCAGGCTTACTACACCACTTGACAACTCCATATAGGGCCTTGTTTAAATGGACATAAAATAAACTTGAAAATTATTTATGATGTGGGTGTCTGTTGCATGGGTATATTAAATTCCAAAAATAAGGCCCCCTTTTTTTTCAGAATTGCCACACGCTTCTAATGGCACCTTACCAGGTTATGACTTCAGTGATTGACTACATCTATTCCCTATGTTGATTGAGTTGACAACTTTCATTTTTTCTTCAGCTCCTATTCTAAAATGGTACTTGATTCTGCAAGGGTTCTAAGGGTTTCATGTGAGTAAAGATTTTAAAGATCAGACCCTGAACCAGGGAAGGCTGGACCAGGGGAGGTCAGTGCCTTTGCTGCTTCTGGCTGTGAGGCTCCTCTCCACTCCACTCCAGCAGCAACAAGGGACTGGCATTGACTGAGCAGGATCTGGGTGAGGGGGAGGGAGGAAAGGGTGATTGGGGGAAGAGGCAGGGTGGCTGCAGAGCCCCGTTGGGCAGTGCTCCTGGCTGTGGGGTTCCACAACCACCCTTCTTCTTTTCATGAGTGTCCTCCTTATCTCCCTGAGCCAGACCAGACTTCTGTAGTCAAGCAATATTCTGTAGAGGCTAAACTGGTATCTTCTTTTAGAGACGTGCATTTCACCTCTGGTAGATGAAGTATTGGCTCTTTTTAAAACAGTGTTTCTTAGCCAGAGGTCTGCGGCCCCATAGGGGGCAGCGAGCAGGTTTTAAGGGAGGCGGGGTCTGGCAAAAAAACAAAACAAAACAGAGAGCAGGGCTGGCATTAGTCACTGAGGCCTGGGGAACAAAGCTGAAGTCTCAATCTTGCCATATGGGGTTGAAATCAACTTAGTTTTGTGAAGCTCCCTGTGGCATGGGCTCAGGCAGTTGCCCTGCTTGCTATCCCTAAACACTGGCCCTGACTTGGATATGCAGAAAAACATTTTTTGTCGTGCAGGTGGGCCAAATAGTTTTTATAGCATGTTGGGGGTAGGGCTCAGAGAGGACAATGGTTGAAAATACCTGTTCTAAAGGATTCTGGAATCTTTTCAGTGACAGCTGTCATAAATATAAGTTCTTTCTTTCTTATTTCCTCAGATATTCTTAATGAATCACTTTATGTCGACTTGTCCTTAACAAAGAATAATGCTCAGGAGCTCATAGAAGACACTGACTTTATAAATAAGAAAACTATTCAAGAGAGAAAGTGCCCAGAGGAGATGTTAAAGGAAGAAATATTTGGTAACCAGCTAAAGCTAAACACGTGGCCGTTGGATGAAAGGATTTTTGAGCATCTACCTCCTAGACTTCGTAAAGGTATAGGTTTAAGAATATCTTCTAATAACTTTGAATGACAGGAATGTTTTTATAAATGACTTGAACTAGTTCTCATCTTGACAGTACCTTCTGGTAAGAGAAAATATAAAACTATCTTGCATAAGATAAAATCTGCTGGAGATTTTAATCAAAGAAAGTAATTGAGAGCAGTTCTTTAAATACAGTTCAAGGTATGATTACATGAGCCAAATACAGTTTTATTTTTCTTCAGAAACTGGTAAAATGGAAAAACAAGAAATCCTGGGGCACCTTGTAGACTAACAGATTTATTGGAGCATAAGTTTTTGTAGGCAAAGACCCACTTTGTCAGATGCATCATTGCAAAATGGAAGCTGGTTTAATGAGAGATAAAACTGTAGTTTAGTAAAGCATAAAGGAAGTGCAGTGCCATAAACTGAACACTGTTTTTTGTGGATATATTTATAATTATAGCAATAATGTGGTAAGAACAATCCTGTGTGAAGTATTTCAAAGATACTGTAAATTCAATCTTTAATCACTAATAATTTAATTATAATTTATTAACTAAAATTGGATAAATAAGAATGTGGTGAAATTGTCATTAAAACACTTTTTCTGCTTAATAAATAAAAATATGAGAATAAAACGTAACAGGTATACACTAAACATTTCTGGGATACTGTCCTTCAGTTTACCTTAGATTAGCTAGGTGCCTATAGACCATGACCAGTAATTTAAAGCCTGAAACTTGTGACTTAGGGAAACAAGTCAATTTTATAAAGAAATACGAAAATTGTGAAAGCAGAGTTGTTTGAGAGATAAAACACAAAATTGGAATTTGGAGAAACCTGGATGCTCTTCTCAGCTCTACTGATGAGTTATTTATGTGACTTGTCCGTGCTTACATAACCAATGTGCCAGACTTTTATCAATTAGTAAAATAGGAATGCTGATGTTCACCTATATTTGTAATATAGTTTGAGGTCTAGAGCTTAAAAACATAATGGAAGGGCTAAGTACTATTATAATTTTCCTCTTTAGAAAATAGAAAAACTTATTCTAGCATTAATATGTTATGACTTTAGGGCTTGTCCAAATAAACATGTTAGTTAATGGTAAACTAGGGAGTAAATGTATACGACACTCGTGTGCCACCCATTAAATGTCTTTAGACCTAATTTCTGTGATCTAAAAGTTCTCTAAAACAGGAGTAGATCAAAGCACATTAGAAAACCTTTAGTGCGTGACAGGTAGGTATACGTACACACATAGTGCACAGCATGTCATAGATTTACATCCTAGCTTGCCACAAACTAAGTGTTCATTTAGTTAATGTTCCTTATTAATTGTGTTTCAGTGTTAAATATTCATATAGAACACTAAAAGACATCACCACACTTTGAATAACTTGTTTGAACAGTAAATTAAAAACAAACATGTATTCTAAAAAATCCTTATTTTCTAGCCTTACAGGAAGCCTGTAAAGAGAAGAGTGGGTTCTATGCCCAGCTCTCTAAACTCTTACCAATGCGAGTGATGTCTTATCTGATACTGCCGTATACACTGCCAGTGGAGTCTGCCTATTCTGTTGCTTTAAGGTGAAGTTCTATTTAAAAACCATTATAGAACCCATATTTTTGGCTCATTAAGACTTTTTTTTTAATTTTTTCATTATCTTTATAGTCATGAGTAAAAAGCTATCAGTGTATAAGTGTTCTCAAACACACTGAAGACTCAACTTAGAGTTCTAGAACTCTCTCTAGCATATATGTAAATTGTAGGTTATGTTCTCTTCTCCATAGTGCTGCATTTTGCAGATGCTTTCTGTGCACAACAGCCTCTAATAAAAGCTTGTTAACTGAAAGAAGGAAAGACAAATGGAGAAATGGAATCCTAGAAATACATAGGGGAAGATTTCATCTTTTTTTAACATACAAAATATCATTTAATTAACTGATTTTTAAAAAATTCTGATTTCTCAACAACATCTACAAAAAAGACTTTTGAAGAATGGAGAATTTCCTTTGCCCTGTTTATAAGAGTCTTCTAAAACAAGGGAGAAACTGATTATGCATAAAATAGATCAGAAAGGCTTTATTTACACTGCAGGGTTTTTGCATAAGAAGATTTTTGCAGAAGAGATCTTCCACAAAAACTTTTTGCGCAAAAGTGCGTCCACACCTCAAAAGCGCATTGCAAAAGCAATGTGGTTTTGTGCAAGAGAGCGTCCACGCTGCATGGACTCTCTTTCGCAAGAAAGCTCTGATTGCCATTAACAGAATGGCCATAAGAGCACCTGTGCTTTGTCTGATTGATTCTTTTTGCGCAAGAAACCCCTGTGGAGCGTCCACACATGCTTTTTTGCGCAGGAGCTATAGCACAAAAAAGGAATTATTCTTTGTGGGGAGAGGAATAACTGTACTGCAAAAAGCCCTCTGCTCCGTCGATTTACTTGCGCAAAAATGCACTTGAGGTGTGGATGCTCTGCCCTGTAGTGTAGACATAGCCAAAGGATTAGGTTTCTTTTGTTTGCTAACATTTTCAGATATAATAATAAGCTATAGCAGTTACAATGCTTTCAGACAGATTTATTTTATAATGCGCCACTCAGAGCAAAATATAACAGTTTCATTTACACTGCTTCATTCTCTGGTGATGGTTAACTTGTATACAAGTGTCACTTGGTTATAATCATGTAATAACAATATAAAAAATCCTTATAGAAATGAAGTGAGAGTTGCACTGAGTATTTGTTTGGTGCATACCAAATGGGGTGTAAATGTTAGTGGACACACTAGCATGTCATGCAGCAAAAGTTATCTAAGGCACAAGGATACTGTCCTATTTCAAACAGTGCTATATCAGTGTTCACTAGAGAGCTTTCAGGCTGTGTCTACATTGGCACCCCTTTCCGGAAAAGGGATGCTAATGTAGACTTCGGAATTGCAAATTCCGCGGGGGATTTAAATATCCCCCGCGGCATTTGCATTTACATGTCTGACGCTTTTTTCCGGCTTGGGGATAAGCCGGAGAAAAGCGCCAGTCTAGACGTGATTCTCCGGAAAATAAGCCCTTTTCTGGAGGATTTCTTATTCCTACTTTCAAGTTTCATCTCCCCCCTCCCCCTCCAGTTTTATTAAATAAAGAGAATTTGTGTTCATGAAAATATATGTATTTTATTTGACATCAGGAAGGGGGGTTAGGGACGGGTAAGTGGAAGGACGTGAGGGAGGAATGAGGCACGAGCCTCCAGTGGGGCACACCAGGGAGACTCCTCAGGGTGGAAGTTCTCTCGCAGACTCTAGGATACTGACAGCCCCCTAGTGGACCTCCCGGATGGCAGCCTGCAGAAAGTGCATTCAGGCTCGCAGCAACGCATCCACGAGAAGCACCAGAGTGCCCAGGGGCAGTTCTGGCTCCATGTTGCAGAGTGCTATGGTGTCCCGAGTAAGGGCAACCAGAGCACGCAGAGAAAAAAAAATGCTTTGCTGTTCCTAATCGAGGTAGGCAATCAGGCAGGGAAACCTGAGAACCAGCTGTCCGGGGGGAGGGGGGGGGGTCCCCTTAAGCACAGGCCTCAGATAGCCTCAGGCAGCAGCCACACAAAGTAACTCCTGACCCAATGCTCTCCCGAAACTGGTTCCGGGCAGCCTTAAATATGATTGTGTCTGTTCAGTGTGGACGCGCTATTTGGAAATAGCCAAATGCTATTTCGAAATATTTTTTGTGTGTAGACACGTTATTTTGAAATATCTTATTTCAAATAATTCTGTACTGTAGACATACCCTTACTGTGTGACACACTAGTGTGCATTAGAATTTACATCCTCATATGAGCTTTAGAGCTCATAAAGACTTGCTTATTGGGGCAGGATTATTCCCCTGGAGTCAACACAAATTACTATTCATAATCTGTGTGCTTCGGACATAAGACAAAGAAGTTAAATTGTCCTAAAGCCCTAAATTCTGTACTGTGATGGAGAGCATCCCAGTGCATAAACATCAGAACCATATCACAATAGCTCTCTACAGAAAATACTGAAAGGGATTAGGAAGAAAATATACAGCCAAAAATTCTTTGAGTAATGATCTGTATATGTAATCCACACTGAGATATGCTTGCAAGCTATATGCCAGGGTCTGGAAATTCTTCAAAGCAGTGTCCATTGGTCTGCACATGTGCAGTTGTTGTCCTAGAGGTGGTGTGACACTTTTCCATGTCTTTCTTACTATCCTGAGTCACAATTGTGTCCTTCATGTCATTACTTTATCTATCAAGAAAATACTTGTAAATAATTATATTCGTAGATTAATAGCTAGTAGTTAAAAAGTTCTATAGTGTAGTTTGTTTACCTGGTTGGAGAACCCCTCCGCAGTTCTGGGACCATTTCATGAAATGTGTCCTCTGTCTGTGATCTTTCTTTATCGGTGATGAACACGAATGCTGCTTGGGGCAGCACGTATCTCTGTAAATGATAGCATCTGGAGGCATCAACATATAAGCCCGAGAACTCTTTTTTTCAGGGCTCCCCATGAGTAAAAGACACTGTCACCATTTAGGACTGTCCATAAGAACCATGCTTTCTTCTCCTTCAAGTGGTGTCCCTGTGGTGCTCCCCTCAGGTGTCAATGTGTCCTTGCACCAGCAATTGGAGATTTTTAGCCGTGCCGCGTATGCGTAGTTGCAGGCATCAACATATAAGCCCGAGAACTCTTTTTTTCAGGGCTCCCCATGAGTAAAAGACACTGTCACCATTTAGGACTGTCCATAAGAACCATGCTTTCTTCTCCTTCAAGTGGTGTCCCTGTGGTGCTCCCCTCAGGTGTCAATGTGTCCTTGCACCAGCAATTGGAGATTTTTAGCCGTGCCGCGTATGCGTAGTTGCTGCCTCATGCTGTTCCATCTGTTAGCTGCGCACATGGTGCTGGTTCCCTTAGTTCCTTTTCTACCATCCTTGGCAGAAAAGGAGTCTCTGAGCAGTGTGTTCTCTGGGGAGGAGAGAGAAAGTTTTAGCAGTTGTTTTTAGTCCTAGCATATTTTTCTTCAAACCTACAGTTTAAAAAAAAAGTTACACCCTATTTTTTCCTCCAAATTCATTGACCCCAAGTTCAAGATGCCAAGTTCCCCTCGTTTTAAAAAATTTAACTCACGCAGGGACCCCATGTCCATTTCGGATGGGAATGCCTCTTGCACAAAATCTTCAGCGGGGTAGCTGAGTTAGTCTGTAACAGGAAAGACTATTTGTTGTTTTTTAAGTTTAGTATTACCTTAAAGACTAACAAAACATGTAGATGGTATGATCTTTTGTAGGCACAGCCCACTTCTTCAGATGACAGGAGTGTTGGAAGCCTGGGGCCAGTTGACCCCAGGTTGCACGCGAGTTCCTCATTTCTCCTTTGAAATGTACAAGAGCCACTTCAGGGGCTCTTGTACATTTCAAAGGAGGAATACAAAAGGGCTCATCAACTACTTCACTAGGAAAATAACCGATAGTTAACATCCCTGCTCCACATTAGCTTGGGGTGTATTTGTCTTAAAGTTTGCATTCGAAAACTTCTATGGAACTTTCAGCAAAACTGAATTTATTTTAAAAACACTTTATTTTTTGATGACTACAGGTTAGTGGACTGGTTTCCTGATATTCCTGATGATGTTCGATGGATGCAGGGACAACTACGTCGTATTGTTAGTACAGTTTATTCTCGGGCAAGAAATAAACTACTTAGTACATCCAGGTAAATCATTGAACTGCTATGTGAAAACTGCTGATGCATCTTCTATACTTATTTTTCCAGCCAAAACAAAAATTAGTGCAATTATTAATATTGTGTTGCAATCATTTAGTAGAAGGGTAAGTAGAAGGGGTTTTTTCCATTTCTACCAAAGTACTGTTCTTTTGGCATTATAGCATATTAAGGGTTGTTTTCCTGCTCTCTCTTCATTAGACCTGATATTAATCATCTTGTTGGTGATCAGAACTTTCTTTAGTAAATGACTTCATACTCTTTCCTTAGGACTGTTGGAGCAGTTGCAGCAGGGACTTCTAGACCCATTTTTCTAGATTCACCACTTTTTCCTGCTTCTAACACCCCAGCTTCTTTCTTCTCTATCTTTTCTCTGATTCCAAAGATAGATTCCTTCAGTGTCTTGCTTTCTCCTGTACTGTGATGAACATCAGAATATTGGGAGTATCTTGAACTCCTTCATACTGTCTTTAGAGGCGTGGACAGCTCAGCGAGTGTGGCCCTTTTTTATTCTGTCCAACACTAGTGGACTGGAAACATCAGACCAAGTAACCTCATCTATGCACAGGGATAAGGACTATTATCTGGGAAGCAGGATGCTCATGGGAAAGAACAGGAAAATCTTGTCCTCGGAGGAACTGGGAGCTACTAAGAGATTCTGAGAGCAAGTGGGGAAGTATGTTGTGTTCTTGAAAAGCAACCCACTACAGACAGCTTCTAGAGCTGGGAGGGAGGGTCATACTCAACCGGGGCTTTCTCAGGATACTTGCTCCTGGATAGTTTACTTGTTGGTTCTACCTCTCCAGTTTTTCTGTACAGACCATCACACCACACCTTTTCCTCACAGTGATCTTTAGTCTCAAGCTTTCTAATTCTTTTTTAAGCACACTATAGAGGAGGATTTATATGAGGCATCCAGTGGCTCCATCAGATATCAATTCTGTTGCTCCCATCTTTAAAATAATTAAAAAAAGAACAATCTGGTCTTGCTCCTCCTCTACTTCGGCTGACTCTGTGTTCTGGTGATGATTTCTTAAAATTTCTAGGTCCTGTTTAGAGCCTTTCCTTGTATTCTGGGGTAACTTTCTTTCGTGGGATTCTCTTTTCCTGTTTTTAATTGGTGGCTTTTCTGCCTCACACTGACTGAAGGTATTTCTTCTATAAAGTTATTTTTTTTAATTTCTCCTCTTCCTCCTTAAGATAGTAGTTCCTATCTCTCAATTCTGAGTGAGAGTGAGAATTCAGATTTCCTTGGCAATTTGTGCTGTGAGGAAACTTAATAAGGTCACCAAATCTTAACTGTGTGGTTAGTGTGTTTTGGCTCATCCAGATTTCACCTAAGGAAGTAGTAATCAAAGTTAAGAATCTCCAGGAGAGGGATGGAATTGAAAAGAAAATAGTGTTAACTATCTCTTGATGGTTGGCTCTTTCCTGTGTCTGAGGAAAGAGGAATAACTTACTAATTGTAAACTATTGTTCTGAAACATAGGAAACTATCCAATAGGTAAAGACACTTTTGTTATGTTAGAATTTTTAATATATTAAGTAATGCCTATGTAAGGCATAGGAATCATGTATGTAACACATACAACATTTTTAATGTATGTAAATTCAGACTATGTAAATTATTTATAGGAAATTCATTTAAAATAACTATGCTGTACACCAATTCATACTGGTACTTTTTTATAATAGAAGTAGGTAAGAGACTCAGCATTTAAACACTGCAGATTCTCCTCAGTTAACTGTGGAGGAGACTTGGTCACCTAGGGTACGTCTAGACTACATGCCTATTTAAATAATTGCTGCTCCATTTAAATTTAAATGGCTGCCACGCTGAGCCGATCTAGCTGTTTGTTAGCTCAGTGCAGTAGTCTGGATGCTCCGGGGTCGACATCAAAGGCATTTGTTGACCTCCCGGGTATGCTTACTGGGATGAGGTTTACCTGAGAGGTCGCCAAATGCCTTTGATGTCGACCGCGGAGCGTCCAGACTACTGCGCTGAGCCGACAAACAGCTGATCGGCTCAGCGCGGCAGCCATTTAAATTTAAATGAAGCGGTGATTATTTAAATCGCCGTTTCATTTTCCTATGCCGGGTAGCTTTTGAAGAGCACCTCTTGAGAAAAAAAAATGCCTTTTAGGCCCCTTTTAACTGATCACATACCCCTTTTGTTCAGTACCATTGGAGAGGAATTGTATACGTTTAGCCTTGCTAGCTGAGGCTTATCAGATCATTATACTAACTTTCTTCACATAACAATTCCATACTTAAGGTGTATCACACTTCAAAACTATACAGGTACCCTCAGTAGAATGTGATCCATTCAAGTTTAGACTGTTGATGCCTTATTTTCTGTTACCTCATTATTTAGAATTCACATTTATTTTTCCTGAGAGATGCTGTAGTGTCATTTAAGTTCCCTTGTGCATGTAGGAAGAACTCTATTCCATCATGACTTGAACGGAAATAAAAACTTCATTAAAATATTGCTAATGGATATTTGGTTTTGTTTTTCCTCCTTACAGTAAAGAAAGCTATGCATCACTAAGAAAATGTCAGACTGTTCCACCTAATGTAGAGTTATATTCGCCCTACTGCCATTCTAAAGTGCCACACTCTGCTGCAGACCTTGAAGGCTGGCTCTGGGATTTTCCATACTGCAGAGACTTATCAGGGAAGCAAATTTCTGATGGCATAAAGGGACTCACAGACTCTGATTCTCATCATATTTTCTTCTTGAATTCTGAAGAATCTGGCTTGGAAATGGATTTTGACTCCTCTTCAGACACAAGTTTCCTAACTGCCTCGGAAGATTAATTTTGTAAACTCTGAAATCCATTTGACAGAGAAGCTTAAATCTTGTGGAGTGAACTCATTCTTCCATCTAGCCAATAAGTATTGGAAGACTGTTTTGTTTACGACTCAATGACTAATTGCCTTTGAGACCTTGACAATGCTAAGGATTATATAAAATAGTTGTCACTGTACTATGTAAAAGTCATTCTTAATCTATTAAATCACTGCCTTCATTTCAAAATTACAGTAGAACAATATATAAAAAAAGATTTCACTCTAAGCAACCTGTAATTAAAAAGCTACATAAAATCAAATCCTATAAATGGCTTATTCTAAACTGAAACAAGCCTTTATAGAACAGTTGTATTTTAAAAGCCATACTTTTATACAATACATAAGTATAGTGTTCTTAGATTAATTTTAGCACTTGCATGAAATCAGACAACCTGTACTTTATAAAGGGAAATGTACATAAAAACTTTAAGGCCCTCTTGTATCTCTCTGTTTGCCTTTTCATTTAAATGTACTGTTTTGTGAGGAAAAGGCACATTATACTGTATGTATACTGTATACTGTACCATACAATTCATACTGTAATCCAAGTTCTCCATTCCTAACACGTTTTATGAAGTGCCTCTTATCCTTAACTATTGAGAAGGAAAAGGTCACAAGAACCAGGCTGCCTCTAGCCCTAAATGTTATGGGACACAAATCTATTGACTCCGATGAAATTGTGCATGCTTAGCATGGGCTTAATTTGAACTAATGTTTTTAGAGCAGTGATCTTTTGAAAAGACAGTATCTTTGAGTAGAGCTGTATAAAGTAACAATGAAGTTGCTGTAACAGACATTGAAAAACATCTTTTAATGTTGTAATGTCCGAGTGTCATGTTTGTGCTTTGATTTGTGGATTATATACATCATCTTCTGTAAAATGGAAAAGGAGGCCCTGTTAGGGTGGGTGGGTTGTGGGTTTTTTTTTTTTTTTTTTTGAAGAGCAGGAAGAAGATCACAATGATTCCATTCTGTTTTTAAATACTTCTTGTGCTAACTTATCTTAAACAGTGCAGGGAAATTTCTTAGCATGTTTCCTTCCTGAGATCAGAATGAATAATTCAAGCTTAAAATAAATGTGTTGATATTGTTAGCCTCATGTTGTGCCTAAAAGACTGCATGCAGGTCTAAGTCCACTGTTAAAAAAAAATCTCTGCCTCCTCTCCTCAAAACCTCAAATCCTGTCCACAATGAAAACTATAAAAACTAGTCTCAATAAAAGTTTCAGCGAGGTGTCAAATCTCAGTATAAAATACTTTACGTTAAGTATTTTATGAGTTCATCTGACAAAACTCTGGTAGTTATGAAAATAATTATTAAACTACTTTTTAATGATTAAAATAAAGGGTTTTTAGCAACATGTTTTGAGATAATGATTTTTTTTAAATATCATAGATACAGATAACATCTTGTGGCTTGTTTGTAAAAGATGTGGCATTTAAGGGGTAAATGCTATTTCTAATACAATGGTGTACATTTGGAATAAAATCAGCTGTATTGCAGGGAGAAGGAAACTCTCAAGCATTTATTGTAAGTCTAAAGAAAACTGAGTGGAGATGGGGAGGAGGAGAAAATGTATTTTTTGATAATAGTATAGTGTAACTTTTAAATATTTACAGGTCTTTGTCAAAACCTTTACATTCCCAACTTAGACTAAATGTTAACTATTTCTTAGGTTTTCAAAGAAAATTCACAAGTCAAAGTGCTACATCTTAAGAATAAACTTAAAATGTTATAAACTATTGTTAACATGTTGTAAAGCTATAATGTTATTCCCCCCCTAAACTTTTGAAGGATTTTTATTATATATCTTTGGTGCTATTTCTTTTGGAAAAAATGATACTTGATTTATGTTGGTGCACTCTTGGACATTGTTGATTCTGCACAGTGACCTGTTTAAAAATATTGGTATAACCATTAATTTAAAAATAAAATAAAATACAAATTGTGATTTTTTTTGTATGATCTTCCTTCTAATAGCAAACTGAGGTTATGGGGTGTTTTTTCTTATCATGTTTTAGAAAATACTGTTGTAATAAATTACTAGCAAACTCACCCAGCCTTCAGTTTTCCCTTTAAGCAAGTGTTTCTTAAACTGTGTCCCGTGGCACACTGGTGTGCCATGGAGAACAGATTTTTTTTTTTGCTCAATAACTTTCCCCCAGACCCTTTTTCTCTCAACCCTTTTTTTTTTTTCTCTCAACAAAAAATCCTTGGTGTTCCTCATAAAAAAAGTGATAGAAATGTAGCCGTGTTAGTCTGGGGTAGCTGAAGCAAAATGCAGGACAATGTAGCACTTTAAAGACTAACAAGATGGTTTATTAGATGATGAGCTTTCGTGGGCCAGACCCACCTTTACACACTGATGGGCTGGGTCCATGTAGGTCTCATGTAAGGGAGTCGAGGGGCCTGAGGCAAAGCCAATGAAAAGACTCCCTTTGATTTCAATGGACATTGGACCAAGCTGTAACCGAGTTTAAGAGAGTTTTAATTTATACCCATTCACACATTAGCACTGTCTTTAGGCCAGACTGTTAATACCTCCGGGATCAATTATTCTGTCCTGAGAATATTTAAACTATGTTTAAATTAATGATTTGTTTGAGCAGAAGATGGCTGTAAAAATCTCTTTTCATTTCAGGTGGAAAAGCCCTGGTCGGGAGCATTAGGTAGACATTGAATTACTAACTATACATGTTTGAACATTTCAGACGGGTCGCTGTGTTAGTCTGTAACTTTAAAAACAAGGAGTAGTCCTCTTGGCACCGTAGGGCATATCTACAGTAGGAAATTATTTGGAAATCACTAAATTCGAAACAATAACTCCCAAAATAACAAAACTGAAATGACATGCCCCCTCTATGGGGAAGCCTCAAAATTAGTCTTCTTGACATTTCCTGTCACTGAAGCGGGAGGCAGAGCTGCACCACTGCTTGACTTCCCCACGCAAGAGAAGGGGACAGGAGTTGCTCCTCACACAAATCTGCCAGGGCAAAAGATTCTCTAAGGAAAAGAAGGCTGTACTATAAACTCTTGTGACTCAGGCACCATTGAGTCCAACACTGGACAGCTCCCTCATCGATCATGAATAGGTGTAATTGGTCAAGTCTACAATGGCCAATACCTTTCAGACAGTCAGAGACTTAATCAAACTCACAGCATCCTGCCTTAAGCAGACATTTCTGAGCCTCTGGCACTGACCAGGCAATTGTCAGGGACAGCCTGTTATAATAAGGCATTCCCGTCTGTGGACCAGCACCTCCCAAGGCACTGTTCTAGTTTGCTGGATTCCCAGCACCATTCACTGGCACACCATCGTTCCCACTCTGCTAGTAACAGGCACCAACCTCATACTCAGGGCTCCTCACTACCACCCTGGTCCTCCCCATCGGAATCATCAATGTCTGAGGCTGAGTCAGTCCTATATAGGGAGACCAGGCACATATCCTACAGTCACTGAAGGAACCAGTACACATCATGGTAACCTCAATGGCCTCTGCCACCTCCGTGGCCTTTTTGGACTCCCTGTGTGTACCATCAAGCCAATAACACTCCCTCTATGATTCTTGGACCACAATCTTGTACTCCACTCCCCCAGGTTACCAGGGCTTACATCCACACCTTGCTCATCTGAAGCCACGATGTCTAATCCTCCAGGCAACAAGGACCCTGTGGCTACTATGGCTCATCAGCAGCCTCCTAGAGCCTTTAGCCCTGTCGGGGCATAGATTGCCAGAGCCATTGTGGGGACATACAGCAGGCAGACCCTGAAGACTTTCACAGGGACCCGGTTCCACCCTTAGCGGCTGCTGCTTTTTCATCCCTGGATGAAGCGGTGGTAGGTGCTTTGACCTTTATTCCCATCCACCCTTGTGTTCTCTGGTAGTCTCAGTGGCAAAAAGGGAGCACCAGAATCAGCAGGTACCTGCACCCAAGGCCAAATAAGCCAGGGATCTAGACCTATTCAGTAGAAAAGTCTATGCTGCTGGGGGTTTGCAGCTGAGGATAGCAAACCAACAAGCTGTCTTAAGCAGGCATAATTTTACTATATGGGACATCACACTAAAATTCAAAGAACTATTGCATTGGTGGATAAGGGTAAAGCAGGAGCCATGTTGGCTCTTTAAGCCTCCTTAGATTCAGCAGACTCAGCAGCCCGCTCTGTTTCCACCAGTGTGATCATGTGTTGTTCAGTATAGCTTCAGTCATCAGGGTTCCCTCCAGAGGTCCAGCATTCCCTTCAAGACCTGTTTAAGGACTCTGGGCTATTTTCCAAGCAAACTGACTCGAGGCTCCATAGTTTAAATCACACCCGGTCAACCATTCACTCCTTAGGGATACATATCCCATTTACTCAAGGTGTTTTAAGCCTCAACTCCAACATCAGTGCCTGTTCTAATTGGACTCCAGCCAGGAGTCCTTCTGCTGTAGAGGCCAGAATAACAGGTGCAGGACACCTTCTTGGTCCATGAACCGGGACCAAGGGCCTGCAAAATCCTAATCCACATTGATGCAAGGGCTTTGATGGGACTCTTAAGGGCTGCATGCCCATTCACATCCCAGATTCCCCCCTTTTCCACAACCACCTGTCTCACTTCCTCCATGTTTGGGCCTTTTTAACCTCAAATCCTCTGCACAGTTGAGGTGAGATACACACTCCAATTCTGCTCCTTTCCCCATCCCTCTGTAGGGACTTTTCTCACAAGCAACTCTTTCGTTAGGAGGTGCAGTTGCTCTTCAGACATTGAGAATGGTAACATTAAAAAACCAATAAGAGAGGACTTAGACCTCCCTGGACACTCAAGTAACAGACCTGAAAGTTGCCATACTTGAGAAAAAAAAGTAAAAAACAGACTAAAGTGAGAATTCATATGCAAACTTTACATTATCAGACCATGTCTGAATAGAGACTAAGAATAGATAGCTCACTACAAAAGGTAATTTTCACCCTTTTGGTATTCTCATCTTATTAACTGTTGGGCTACGTCTACACTGGCCCCTTTTACGAAAGGGGCATGCTAATTTTAAACTTCGTAATAGGGAAATCCGCGGGGGATTTAAATATCCCCTGCGGAATTTAAATAAAGATGTCCGCCGCTTTTTTCCGGCTTGGGGAAAAGCCGGAAAAAAGCGTCTAGACTGGCCCGATCCTCCGGAATAAAGCCCTTTTCCGGAGGATCTCTTATTCCTACTTTGAAGGATTGGGCGAGTCTAGATGCTTTTTTCCGGCTTTTCCCCAAGCCGGAAAAAAGCGGCGGACATCTTTATTTAAATTCCGCAGGGGATATTTAAATCCCCCGCGGATTTCCCTATTACGAAGTTTAAAATTAGCATGCCCCTTTCGTAAAAGGGGCCAGTGTAGATGTAGCCTTGGGGAATAGGCCAAATCCACTCTGACTGAATTAGTTTTGTTAGTACTCATCCTCCGTGTAGTAATGGAACACTCCCATTTTTGTATAAATATCTGCAAAACTAAAGCTTCCACTTCATGCCTCTGATGAAGCCCACGAGAGTTTAAGTCCAAATTAATTTAAGTCTCTAACATGCCATAGAACTCCTCCTTGTCTTTGCTAAAACGGAATAACAGGGCTACCCCTCTGAAACTTGCATTCAAGTAAGTCCTCAAAGAAATGTATACATTTTCGGTGCTTCTGTGGTCTATTTTCTCTATGGATTACATTTAATTACATTAGCTGTCACATAACTTAATAGATTTCCTGTACAGGCAGTCCCCGGGTTACGTACAAGATAGGGACTGTAGCTCTGTTCTTAAGTTGAATTTGTATGTAAGTCAGAGCTGGTCCATATTGTACCCCAGGTGTCCCCGATTCAGCCGCTGCTGAAACTGGCCAGCGGCTGACTAAAGGAAGCCTGAGGCAGAGCTGCTTTGCCCCAGGCTTCCTGGAATCAGCTGCTAATCAGTTTCAGCAGCAGCTGACTTGGGGACACCTGGGGTAGAGCAGCTGGGGTGCTGCCGGGTTGGTCCCCGCAGTGCC